CCCCCCCCCCCCCCCCACCCCTCCGCACCCCCCGCACCCCCCCTTCCCGTCGAGGCTGCAGCCACCGGCCCCTCCCCGACACGCACACAGCCGTCCTCCGCACCGGCCCTCGCTCACACACGCACACGCGCCGCCTCCCAGAGGCAAACCACTCGCGCCTAGACCCGCGCCGCACGTCCGCCGTCGCAGGAGCGGGAACGGAAGAGGGAGGCGAGCGGCGCGGCGGCGGCGGAGCGGGAGGAGGAGGAGCGCGCCACGCTCGTCGACGCCCTCTTCGACGGCGGCGACGCCGACGGCGGCGACGTTGTCGATCCACTCGCAGAGGCGGAGGCGCGCAACCAGCAGGCTGCCGGGGAGCCGGTGGCGGCGGAGAAGGGGGCGGGGAACGCTGCCGCCTTCGACACGCTCTTTGCGGACGACTACTTCATCCCCCCCGAGCCGCCGTAGCCGCGCGCGGATCGCGCGTCATAGGTGTCAGGGAGCATGTCTTGAGTGCCGTGGTGTCGGAGCAGCGGGGGAGGCGCCGCGCAGGAGCTGCGCCCTCAGCGCGCATAGGAGCAGGTAGAGGTCACACCATGTAGTTGCGGCTCCCGGCAGGGGACAAGGGTCGCGGTGGCGTACGATGCTACGGCACGCTCCTTCGAGTCTCCGTACTCCGACGGCCCGTGGGCTCCTCCGCATTTTAGCCAGTCCGGTCCGGGTTTGTCCGCGCAGCGTTGCCGTTGCCCGTTGGGGATGCCCAGTCGACTGCCGCAGTTGATGGTCGTCCGCCCTCGCCGCATGCATGTATCAGCTATCACATGCAGTGTTGACTTGTACCATTTACAGAGCTCTGCTAGGCTGGTGAAACAACTCCTGTTGTGAAAAACACACACACTAGATCAAATCAAAAATGCAAATCCTTTTTATCCCCAGGTGCAGGTCCCGGGCGGGCCAGCGCCCAGGATTGAGAGACCACCCGGTAGCGCGTATATAACGTATGACACGTCACACGAGCGGCGACACGACCCCCACGAGCGCATCACGAGGTCTTGTCGTTTGTCCCTCTCTCAAGTGGTCTCGCGTCTGCTGTGTGGCAGTGCGCCGGTGCGGGCAGCTCCCCGCGCATCTCTCTCTCCGCCGGACCGCTCTCCGGTGGGCCACTCTCCTCCCCGCGTCTCGAGCGCTGGCGACCCTTTGTGTGACGCGCCCCGCCGACGCGCAGCCCCGCCCCCCGCTACGCCTCCTCCAGCAGCGGCACGGCGGCCTCGGACAGGTCGAGGTTGTACAGCCGCGCCGCGCCGAGCACCACCTCCGGCAGCTCCTCTTGCCGCTGCCCCTCTAGCACAAAGGCGAGGTCCGCCACAATCAGCTTGGAGACCGGCCGGACCAACCCGAGCACGCGGTTGGCGATGGCCTCCTTGCTGATGTCCATGTCGACCTCCACGTACTCTGGCGTAGAAAAGTAGCGCTGCGGCACGCCCCGGCCACCCTTGGCCGTGATGGCGGGACGCGACGGGCATGCGAGCCGCAGCGTCAGGGGCGCCCGCACGAGCCTCGGGATGAGCTTGAAGCGGTCGTTGCGGAAGTCGTCGGCTGCGTGCGCGAACCGCTCCAGGAGCGCGGCTGCGGCCGGCGACTCCTCCTCCAGCGTCTCCAGCACGCCAAAGTACCTGCGCGTCGGGGCAGGGGGTGGGCTGGAGGAGGGGGAGGGTATGGGTTGGGCGGGGTCTTTATGAGGAGAGTGGGGAGGGGGGTGGGCTTTCACACATGGCGAGGTGCACGACCCACTTCCCCGTCGGGATGACGACCACGACCACCACGATCCTCGAGAGAGGCGACTCGCAGCGCTCGTGGAGCGTCGAGGTCGGGGCGCCGGGACGGCCAGCCACGTTGGCAAAAAAAGTCTTTGCTCGAAAGAGCTCCACAGCCAAGAGCTGCGAGCCGCACGCGGACGGGACCTTCTTCCGGTCGCGAAGGTAGTTCTCGCCGCGGATCTCAAAGCCGTTCGGTGCGATGGCGCTCCAGCAGTGTCGGCCGTCCGCTGTGACCTGCTCGTTGAGCTCGTACGGCGAGCGCTCCACCGGAGGCGGGGAGACGGTCGATCTGCGGGTGACGGACGAGCGTCGAACCATCGCGTCGGCGAGTGGCTCTGACTGGAGACTTAATAGGAGCGGGACAGCGCTCGATTTGCGAGGGTCGATGAGCTTCACGCTCTCCTCGGCAGCAATCGTCAGCCGTTGGTGAATGGTCGGCGCCGGCGCTGACTCAGACTCGCGTGCATATGATTTGCTGTGCCCGCAGCCCATTGTGGCCGCTGCTTCTCGCGCCACCCTGCGTCTCGAAGGAGGCAAAGACTACGGCAAAGACCGGCCCGCACCGGCAACACCGCTCTGACAGCGCTCAACAGCTGCCCCAAAGAGGGCGTTCTTGCAAGACACAGGGTGCCCGTGAGGGCGGAAGAAAACTAGAAGGCACCAGTACCCTCAAAAGCAGACAATGGAGTCCGTCAGTGCTACACACGTCAAACACAACAACAATTTGTTTGGTATAGCTAAAAAGCTTCGGCGGTTAGTGCACTAACCTCGCCGAGAACCCTTCGGTTCGCTCATCGCAAACCCTGTCAGCAGAGTCCTCCTACGGGAAGGTACGTAAGAGCCACATACACTGAAAAATCCACACGTCCTACCTTCCTACATAGGAACCTATGCACCCACACTTGGGGACTAGAGCATATGCACACACAGACAGACAGACAGACAGACAACAAACGATGGGGACACGCGCTCAACGCCAAAAGGCAGAAACCTCAACTTGTACGAAAAACTAGCTTACTGCTCTCTTTCTCAAAGGTGCGTCCCCGACAGCCAAATTAGGCGAGCGCTTTTTCATAAGGTAAGCGAGCGCCAACTTTTTGCGCACGTCCCTTGCACCCGCAGAAGACCACAAGATGTGTCTGCGACGTCTCGCGCTCCTACTGGCCTCCGCCCCTACCGCCCGAGCACATGGGCGGATGTCATGCCCAGCGCCGCGTCAGATGCGCGACCACACCATCGACGGCGACGCCTGGACGCGGTGGGTCGGAATGACGGGGGGCTCCTACGCGCCTGGGTTTGGCAACTCTCAGAGCCTCAACTCCGGAGGCCTCAACCCGGCGCACGCGAGCCCGCACTCGCGAGACCTCTGTGGTGGGACGCTTGCAAACGGATTCAACGCGGGAGCGCGGTATGGCCCGACGGACCCACGCGGCACGTTTGTCAGCGGTGGCTTGATGGTGGTGACTATCGAGCTGACTGCCCATCACAGAGGTGCGCTGCCAACCTCTACGCCCAGTGCACCGATTGCCCACGTTTGCTGCACCCACGCCGCTCACCCGCCCCGCAGGCTGGTTCGAGTTCCGGCTCGCAGTCTTGGACGATCCAGACAAGAGCGTCCCCATCACGCACCGACCGCATCGCCGCCCATCGCGATGGTGGTCTCGGGCGAGAGGCGGGACGCGCCAGGAAGATGCCCGCACGGCGTCGCCCTCGGTGGGAGGACAAATCTCTGCGCGGGGACGGTGACGGCGTCGAAGAGGGTCGTGCGCTGACAACCCTCGCATCGCTTGCACCCACAAAGGCAGCCACAGAGGCTCTCCCCGGCCAGAGGCGGCAGGCGCATCCTCTGGTCGCGGCAGTCGGGCGTGCCACTGTCACGCGGAGGGCTGGGCGTATACGCCGTCGAGGCGTTGGCCGGTGTAAAGACCCAAGGGACGAGGCTGACGCCGCGAGCATTGCCAGGTTGGCCGGGGGCCCACTGCTCTTTGAGGGCTGTACGAACGGCTAGTCCCATGCGACGCGAGTCTTGGCGGTTGGACTCGAGACTCAACTCGGTGTTGAAGCTGATCCACTCTGTGTCAGGATCGGAAACGCCCGTTCCGTCCGGATCGGCGGTGGCCGAGATTGCAGCCAAGGAGACCGCCGCATTCCACGCCTTGAGCGCCCAGACGAGCAGCGGTCCGGTGAAGCGGGTGGGGTGGATGTTGCTCAGGGAAGCCATCGTGACAATCCCGAGCGGCATTGGCGCCTGTGGACGAGGCCACACGTAGTCCGATTCTGCCGCCCCTTCCGCCGCCGCGAGATCGGCGGCCTGCTCTTGGCTCGCTGCCGTGAATTTGCCCCTCCCGACGCCGAGGGGTCGGAGGAAGAAGTACCACATGAATTCAACCCACCACGACGGGTCGCCAGCCGCCCACGGCCAGCAGGCCGGTCCGACGCACTTTCCAAAGCCGAGGAGACGAAAGGGCGTGCCGATCGACGCAGCAATCGGGATGGCCCAGCAGAGGGTGGGAACGTACCACGGGCAGCCTCCGGGAGGAGGACAGCATGCTGCAGGGAAGGTCAGCATCCATCCATACAGTCCCCGCCCGTGCTCGACGTCGGGATCGAGGTGGCGCATCGCTGCGGGGGTGATGTCCCGGGGCCGAGTGGCGCGTGCAGTGTCGAGGAAGACGGAAGGATCCAGTTTCGAGTAGCAGTACATTGTTGCGGCGATGTAACCCCCGGAAGCGCCAGAGATAACGTCAAAGTTGTCGAGGGCGCTCTTGTTGCCACGCCGCCTCGCGGGCGGAGGAAGCGACTTTCTCGCAAAGCCTCGGAAGACGCCAAGCATCTCAGCTGGTGGCACAAGGCCTCCACCTGTGACACACAGAGCGACCTCGGGCGCTGCCTCTCCCTTTGGGAGCGCATCCTGTCTGCCTGCGGCTACGCACTGCTTGCGGACATACGCAGCCTTGGGCCGGGGCATGCTGGGCGGTGCCACTTGGTCTGCCGATTTTTGTGGCATTGTCAGCGCTCGGCCAGTGTCGAGGGCAGGCCGAGCCTAAGGCCCCAAGGGCCGGAAGGGGCCGCCGTTTTTTCACAACACACAAGTTTCGTGTCTTTTGAACACCGAAGTCGCGGTTTTCTTGTGCACTTGAACACATTAAAACTCTAGTGCGGACCCATTCGGCGGCACTTGGGTGCCAGCAGCGACAGGGACGGGTTGGATTGTGATGATGAGAGTGGCTTGGAAGAGGGTGCGAGGGGCGGGAGAACGGCAGCACTCTCTCTCTCCATCGGACCACCTCGAAGACGAGGCTTTTCAGCGAGGCGCAGCCTGTGGGCGGCTCCTGCCACGGCTGCACCTGACCGCAGTCGCCACCGGTCGACGGCAACAATTCGCTCGACGTCGAGGCCCGTTCCGATGACCGCCTCACGCCGCCGGCCCATCTGGCAGATGGCGGCGCCGGACCTGGTCTTTCGCAACGCCGCTGGCAGCGCGGCCCTCCGCGTGCGCTCTTGGAGCTCGTCCTCCAGGCGAGACAGAGCCACGAGGGTCCGCTTCTGGCCTGACCACCCAAAGTCCTCCGCCGCTTCCCGCGCGTCGGCCATCCTCCGCTCCTAAAGACAAGGAGGCACGACTGGCGCAACGTAGCTCGGGAAGCAATATTGGGATGAGCGATCCCTCGCTTCTCGGCCAGAGCCCCTACAGCTGTCGCTGCCGCGCGCCTGAAGACGGCGGTGGAAGTGCGGGTGCGCCATGCAAGGTGTGCCCGGCTTCAGCGCGCACAGCAGGGCGGGCAGCGAGGTCCCGATTACACACTCCGCGGCGAGGAGGTCTCGGTCGAGTGGCGACGAGGGGCCAGGGCAAGTAAACGAGGCGGCAGCCTGCGTGGTCAGGGGCAGACTGCGGGCGCTCCGAGTCATTACTTACGCGGTTGTGTGCCAGTCCGTCCCAGTCTGCGTACTTACGCGTCGAGTTATCGTTTCAGGAATCCGAAAAGAAATCAGAAGGCGCAGCACAAAGAATTCCAAAATCCTTCTCGTGCAGGTGGGGACCCTGTCCTCCCCCCATCCCTTTAAATTTTTCTTTCTTTTTCCTCGCTGTGTGTGGCGCTTGAACCGCAGCGGGAATGGAACGCGTATCTGAGACACTCCTACGCCTCTGGCAACACCGAAGAGAAGGCCCGCCGCCTCGCGCGCAAAGTCGCGCGCGGCAGCGTTGACCGCACGGCCTACTCGCCCAAGCGCCAAGTACTCGCTCTCTTTTATGTCCCACCATGCAGAGCGCATCTCTCTCTCTGTTGTGCGAGGCGTGAACCGCGCCATTCGCTCTCACCTGGCAACCCTGTCTGCACGTCTCGCGCGCGCGTGAACAGGGCTCCAGGCCCCAAATGACGTGTGAGTGTTAGAGTTGTTGTCGTATCTGCCATCTCTGCGGCAGAGTCTCTGGATGAGGACGACCGCGGACCGACGCCGCGGCGGAACCCGCCCCCCACTCTGTAGTACAGTAACTACCTCAACGGGGCTGTTGGCGCAGGGGGAGGTGTCAATCACGCTCCCGGGACGCCGGAGAGTATCGGGTTGGTCTCCCCCGCCTTCAGCCCTGACCCGACGGGGACGCCACCACCCTCGCCCAGGGATCTACAATGCTGTCTTAAGGTCCGACAGGTTCGGCACCGGGCACCGCCTCGGTATACAAATGCGCCTGCGGGCGGACCCTTACAGATCGGCACAGAAGACAGATATATCACAGCTCCCAGTGTAACTGTATAGCATTAGCAAGCCGCGTTGGAGCCGCTCCCGTGCGGGCAGGACCCTCAGCGGGGCACTGTCCCCGGTGATAGTATTTTGTTCAACGCGGGCTTCAACGCGGCAAAAGAGGCACGCACACAGAGATGCAAACGCTACACTGTGTGTCACCTCGAGGACGCGCCCTCCACGTGCTCTTCTTCATGCTCCATCCTCCCTCGCCGCCTCGACAGCTCGAGCGCCTCCGCGACGCCCATGACACACACGGTGCTGCCAACGACGATGCCCTGCACATAGACGCGAACCTTTCGAGCGCACGGAAGGGGATTCAAGCTCGCGGGACTGGCGACGTTCAGTGCGGCTGGGCTCAGAGAAGTAGAAGGGCAACACAAGTGTGGTATGGTGTGCGCCTGCATCAGCCGCTGCGCGCCGACGGCGAGCGAGCCGTCTCGCAGCACGAGGCACGCACTCAGCGCCGCGAGGGTAAGGATGGCCGCCGCCGGGTGCTCGCCCGCTAGGGCAGCCGCGCGCGCTGGCGCTGTCCCGCCGGCGAGCCAGTCGGCGAGGAGTACGATCAGCTGCCCTCCGCGGTGCTGCGGCTGCTGCGGCGGCTGCTTTGCCGCCGCCTCGCGATACCGTTCGGTGATGGCGCGCGAACGCTCCGCCGCGTCGGGCTCCTCCCCGTGCACCACCACACTGCTGCACAGCCTCTGATAGTCGCTACGCTGCTTCCGGCAGTCGGCAGTCACAGACGCCTGCGCCTGGCCGGTGATACTCGCTTCGCAGACGGCGACGCGTTTGGCGAGCGCGGCGCACCGCCGCTCCGCCTTGATCGGATCGATCTGCCGGCCAGAGGGATTGCACGCCGAGTTGGTCACGCAGTGCGAGCGCCACGCCTGGAACGGCTGCTTGCACGCGGCAGGAGCATGCTCGCGCTCACACGCGGAGACAGCGGCGAATAGGGCTGCGCAGCGGTCGGCGCAGCGCGCGTCGACGGCTTGGGCGGAGGCGGAGGTCATGTACTCTGCTGGAGGAATGGTTGGGCAAGTTACTCAGGACACGATCCCGGCGTGAATACAACTAACTGACGGATCCGCTCCTGACGGCGGCACGCACCGCGCTGCGGCGCGTGCCGCCGTCTTTGTTTGAAGTAAAAAGCCGAATCAGAGCGGCGTCGGCGTTGTCCTGAGTTTTCTCCCCCGGATTGCCCAACCGGGACCGCTCCGGGACGCACGCCGGCGAAGCACCATCAAGCTGCTGTACGGCCCCGGAATCGCCTCCCCAGGCTTAGCTAGACTGAGAGATATTGTGCACATGGTCAGTCTCTACAATGTATACACTGACACTGAACCTCCCAGAGCTCGTCCCGGTCCGTCACGGCCATCCTCGGCCTCCGGAGGGCCCCCGGCCGCGGCGCGGTGCGGCGGCGTCACAAATCCGACCACAGAGCACCGGGACGCGGTCGGGCGATCTAAGGCCCAGTGAGGCGTATGCATTGCCTATCCAGGGCTACCACCTGGACCTATCAACAGGCGCCTGCGGCGCCGTGGTCAGGAGCTGCTATTCACACCTGCCCAACCATTCATGCAGCACAGTAGCCGAAAGAAGACCAGAGAGAAAGAAAGAAACCAAACCGCTAACACAAGGTGCTGGGGGGGGCGACAGGAAGAATGTGGCCCTGAGTTATGTGTACGCCAACTCAGGGTGTGTGGCAGCCAGCTGGCTGTGTGTCCCGAGCCTGACTGTTCTTCACCTTACTACATACATACATACCGCGTTGGTGTCCAGTCCGAGCCTGACTGTTGTTCATCTTTCTACATACAACACAAGGGAGGGATGGGAGGACGGCACGAGAGAGACCAGGTGCGGCGCGGAAGGTCGCGGTTCTTCTTTTTTTGCGAAATTTCTTCATCTCAGCTCAAAACATTATCTAGGCACTGCACGGCTCCTCGGGATTTCTGGGGAAGTTGGGACGTGTGTGTGAGAGAGAGATTTTTGAAGACCAACAAGAAATCACGTCTCACAGTGATTTGGGCTCGGCAGCTTGTCAGCCCTCAGCCGAAGCTGGGGCCGGTCCTCCCGTGGCCGAGCGAGAGAGCCCGCGCCGATGAGTTCGACGCGGTCGGTGTGTGCGTGCGTTTTGGTTTGTGCGTGCGAGAAATCACGACTCTCACCCCCACGTGCCACGACTCGGAACGCGAATGTGACAGGACCATCGGGTCCTTCAGCCACCAAAGCGGGATCACCCGAGAGCAGCTGAGCCTGCCTCTGGCCTCGCCTCCCTCTCCTTCAGGCATTCGAGGCATCCTATGGGTCGTCCAGAGTATCGACCTCTGGCGAGTCAGCCAGCCCCACTTTGAGGGCGCCATGAAGTACAGCGATCGCCACCTCGCTGGCCTCTCCACAGGCCCCCCCGACCGCGTCGAACTCATCGGCGCGGGCTCCCTCGGCTACGGGACCGGCCCCAGCTTCGGCTGAGGGCTGACAAGCTGCCGAGCCCAAATCACTGCGTGCGTGCGTGCGTGCGTGTGAGAGAGAGATTGCGTGGCGGGTGGCGTGTGCGGCGTGTGTGTGTGTGTGTGTGTGTGTGTGTGTGTGTGTGTGTGTGTGTGTGTGTGTGTGTGTGTGTGTGTGTGTGTGTGTGTGTGTGTGTGTGTGTGTGTGTGTGTGTGTGTGTGTGTGTGTGTGTGCGTGCGTGCTCGCTCGCTCGCTCGCTCGCTCGCTCGCACGCGGGCGCTGCGCGAGCCGCCTTGCCCGCGGCTAGCCGCGGGTTGCACCGTTGTCGACGCCCGAGGAGGAAGCCGAGAGAGACAGGTGTGCAGAGAGAGATTTTTAGCATCTTCTCACGTTTTGGTGTGCAGCGAATGATTTCTTTTTTGTTAAATTTCTTTTTTGCGTTAAGGAGCATTCCTGGCCTGTGTAATATAGCCCCCCTACTCGCGTGTTTACGAACTCTCTGTTCACAGCTGGAGTGGATTCCTTCCTGGCCGTATCGCTCGACAGGTGTCTTGCGCTTCACGCCCAGCAATGGCTCTTATCGCGCTGCTGCTGCTCCTCTCGACTGCCTGCAGTCACGCTCTGCGGGCTGGCGTCCCGCGCATGACTGCGCCGGCCGCCGCGGCTTCGTCGACACTGCGGCCGGACCTTGCCGCCGCTCTCGGCACGGAACCGGAGAGCGGCATGGCTGACGAGGCGGCGATGCTCGCGAGCTCCACCTTCCCGATACCGCCGGACGAGCTGGTCAGCCTCGCAAAGGCGTTCACCGCGGCTCAGCTCGCAGGCACCGCCGACGGGAGCGGTGGCAACCCGGACTGGTTCGCCGAGGACTTCCGCTTCGTCGCACCCGTGGTCGGCCCGTACGACAAGGGCCTCTTCATCGACTCGCTCAAATCGTTCGACCTCAAGACCGCGTTCCCGAGCCTGAGCTCCAACTACCACCACTTCCGCGTCTGCCCGTTCAAGCCGAACCGCGTGTGGTACTCGGTGAAGTACCTCGGGAAGAATGATGGCCCCGTGCTGGGGCGGCCGGCGACCGGCAAGTCGGTCGAGTCTCCGGTTCAGGCGCACAGCATCACATTCAATGAGCAAGGCGAGGTGACCAAGTTCACGATCGGTTACGTGATGGACAAGGAGGAGGGCAACACGGGCGGGCTCGGCGGGGTGTTTGGCCTGTTTTGGGCGATCGGGTACGGCTTCCCCTTTCCCGAGGCGCAGCCGTACAAGCCGTCGCCCGTGTACGGGACGCTGCAGAGCGTAAACAGGGCCATCCAGGACGCCTTCAAGGCGAGCCCGGCGTTCAAGAGCGCGGTCCAGAGCGTACTCACCACGCTGGGCAAGCGAGAGTGAGTTGTGCTTCTGTAGAAGCTAGTGGATTTCGTTAGACGTGGAGGAGGCGAATTTCTTCTTCACTCTAGATAGATAGCGTCCTGGTTCCGGCTCCAACCCGGATAGGGGGTGTGTCGCCACTGCGGCCCAGATAGGTAGGTTGGTCTTGTTTCGCCCAAAAGGGCCCTGCAATAGGTAGGTACGCTATTTTATCTGTTTTCGCTTCGCTGCGCGGCCTGGGGATAGGTGCAGCAAGCGCGTTTTGGCGCGAGTCAGTTGCGCAGATCCCCCGCTACCAGGGTATCTGATCTCCGGAACCCTTGTCAGGCACGGCGAAGGCGATGCTGGGAGCCCTCTTCTCCACCGTCGCCTATGCACGTCGCACTGCTCCATCACCTGCGCATATCGATCGCCTGCTCGCAAGCCACTGGCGACGCTTCGACGCAGTGCTCGACGATGACGAGGAGGCGTTCGTGGATCGCCACGGCCTCCCGGCCGGCGCAGCGGCGCCACCTCTCGGACACGGCTCATCCGCCTACGGCGAGGTGACACGCGTCGGTGCGCGCCAGCTCTTTGCCGCGTTTGGTCTCGACTCCGGCGGCCGGCACTGCTCGTTCGCCGACCTCGGCTCCGGCACGGGAGCGCTCGTGGCGCAGGCGTGGCTCGAGTTGCCGTATCTCGAGCGTTCGGTCGGCGTCGAGCTCTCGCCGACGCGCCACGCGGCCGCCACGAGGTCGTGGGGCCGGCTGGCGGCCGACGACTCGGCGGCTGAGCTGCTGCGGCGGCCGGGCGAGCCCGAGTTTACGCTCGGCTCGATGCTCGAGTGCGGCCTGTGCGGCCTGACGCATGTAGATCCGATAGCTGCGGAATGAACATCCCTGCCATCAACTCACACTCGAGACGATCTCGTGTTTGGCAGTGTCCCATCGCATTCCAGGCGATGCTTCGAACACACGCTGCACGACACACCGCCGCCCCGCCGCCCCGCATGCACGCCCGATGTACATCTCTGCACCTCGAGGTGTACGTCGCCTCCCTCTGCATGGACGACCAGCTCCTCTCCGAGCTGTGGGGACGGCTGAGCGCAGCGCCGGAGGTGTGTGCGCCCTCAGCTGGGCGACACACCCTCAAAGAAGGAGCTCCGCCCTTTACACAACGCGCGACCTCGGGTCGTCCTGCCCGTGCCGGAGAGGGTCATGGGTGCGGGTGCGTGCTGCTGAGGACGCCGCGCAGCTGAGGGAGTCAGCGCATGCGCCTCTGCAGGTCGAGTGCGTCGCGTCGCTCCGCGCCTTCCCCGCACCGCTCGGTCGCGCCGACGCGTCCGCCGCGCCGAGGGCGGTGCGCGCCGCCGCTCGCCAGCCTTCGGCGCCCGCCCATGACACACAGCCCGCGACGCGACCACCGACGCGTCCGCGACGCGTCCACGCAGGTGGCGGTGGAGACGGCGGTGGTGGAGACGACGTGGACGCCGGAGGGGCAGGCTGGGACGCCGGTGCACTTGTACCGATTCGGCGGCCGCGGTCGCGAGGCGGAGGCGGAGGCGGAGGCGGAGGCGGAGGCGGAGGCGGAGGCGGAGGCGGAGGCGGAGGGCAGCGAGGGGGTGGGGCGCGGGGCGCGGCGAGGCGGAGGCGGAGGCGGAGGCGGGGGTGGGGGGCAGAGGCACGCGGCGCCGCGCTGCTGCGCCGCCGCGCTCGACGACGAGGGCAAGGCTCTAGGCAAGGCTCTAGGCAAGGCGGAGTGGCTCCGCCTCCTCGCCGAGGCGGAGGAGCGGACCCGCGACCAGGCGCCCGCTCCCGCGCAGCCTGCTCCTGCGCAGCCTGTTCCTGCGCAGCCTGCTCCCGCGCAGCCAGCCCCCGTCGAGGACGATGTCGCCGACGTGCGGCTAGCGGACTCGTGGGCTTCCGCCAAGAGCCTCGCGGGACGGCCCGTCTTCAGCCAGCCGAGCAACGTCGACCCGTCCACGCGCATCGAGGTGAGCACCGGACGCGTCGAAGTCCCCACTGGACACGTCCATCACACGTGCGTGACATGAGTCGTGCCACACGCCACACGCCCACCGCCCGTCCAACAGGTGCACGAGCATGCCTCCGGCTGGCGCTCCCTCGTCTTTGTCGCGAGCGAGCGCGTGAGCGTCCAGTCCAAGGCGAGATATGGGCGAGATATGGGCGAGATACGGAGCGCGTGAGCGTCCAGTCCAAGGCGAGAGGTGCTCCAGCAGCCAGACCAGCCCACATCCACACACCGCACGCGCACGCAAGCAAGCGTACAGCACGCACCGCGCCACGCAGACGCAGCCCAACGACGCTCGGACTGCGGCAGCTGGACTGCGGTGCGTAGGTGCGGCTCGACGGCGGCTCCGGCCTCGCGCAGCCGTATGCGATGCCGACCGAGTACCTCAAGTCGATGGTGGCGCTCGCGCTGAGCGCGCTCGCGGACGTGCGCCGCCTCGAGCGCGCCTTTCCCTCCTCGTGGCGGGTGGAGCAGCGCGCCCACCGCCTTAGGTGCCGCGCCTCGAGCGGGTCCTCGTGCTCGGTATGGGCGCCGGCAGCCTCCCCTCCTACCTCGGCCGCTGCTGCCCTGAGGCGGCCGCCGCACCGCCCCCCCCGCGCGCGCTCTGGCAGCGCTCCCGAAGCCGCGTTCCGAGCCCCTTGCCTTGGGTCGCTGGCTAGGCGCGACTCGTCGACGCCGTCGAGCTGGACGCGACCGTCGCCGAGGCGGCGCAGGGACCGTTCGGCCTCGACCCAGGCCGCCGGCGCCGTGCGCGCGCTGAGCCCTCCCGGCGCTTTTGCCGCACCAGTCGCGGGCAGCGTCGCTCCGCCATAGGCAGAGTGGCTGTGCACGTGGACGACGCCGCGGCGTGGCTCCGCGGGAGGGCGGCGGCGGCGGCGCGGGAGCCATACGACCTCGTATGCGTGGACATCGCGGACGGGAGCAACCGCATCCCAGAGACGTTCTACTCGGCCGCCTTCCTCGCCGACGTGCGCGCGAGCCTCGCTCCGCACGGCGTTGTCTGCCACAACTTCCACTCGGGCAAGGCGGACCTCGACCGGCGCCTCGAGGAGGCTTGCGCCGCGTACGGCGCCGCCTTCCCCGGCGGCGCGTGCCGCGTGCCTTCGCCCGCGCGCCGGCCCTGGAACACGATCGTCGCGGCGAGCCCGCGGCGGGGCGCCTTCTCCTCCCTTGAGGAGCTGCGCGCGGCGGCGCGGCGAGCACGAGAGCAGCGCGGGCTGCCCTTCGACGCGAGCGCGCGGCTGGAGGGACTGAGAGAGATTTGAAAAAAGGAAAAAATTATGAAGTAGTCAACACTCTTTTTTGAGCACGTGTGTACCGCTACAACAATGAACAGACAGACTGAGAGATACTGCACACATATGCGGCCGCCAGCAGCAGCACGCAGCAGGCACGCAGCAGGTGGAGGCTGGAGCACAGGCAGCGGGTGCTGCGTCTTAGTCTGGGGCGCGGGCCTCGACGACTCGCTTGACTGCCTCGTTGATGTACACGTAGTTCCTCGCGACCTTTGCGAAAGGCATCCCGAGATTCAGAGCAGGGAGGAGGCCGGTGAAGTCCTCATAGTGCTCCATACGTGTCCTCGTCTCCGATTCGGGGGTCAAAATGATCCAATGGTTGCCGTGGAAGAGGCCGCAAGGGACGCCGCCGGCCCAATTTAGGAAGTGGCGGTCGTGATCCACGGCCAGAATCTGGCACGCGTATTCTTTCCAGGTGCCGTCGCCGTCGAAGGACGCGAGAAGCCTCGCATCCGTCCCGGCCGGGTTCTCATCGACGTCTTCAAACTTGGTCCACGCGTTCCACTCGCCCCACGTTCGCAGGTCGCTGACTACCTAAAGCTTGCGCGGCGGTTGGTGATGCGCGGCGAGAGGTGATGCGCGGCGAGAGGTGCTGCGGCGAGAGGTGATGCGCGGCGAGAGGTGAGTTGTGCGACTGCCAAGGAAGCGGCGCGTGGACGTGACCCGCACCTTCCAGACGCTGCCGATGGATGCATCGATGATGATCTCAGTACGGATTGTTCGCACCATCCCAAGCGGCGGGCGAGTAGGATGTTGGACAGAGGAAGAGATGCGGCCAAAACGAGCGACGCAAGACAGCGGCGCATGCTGGGTCAGACCAACGACCTCCGACGCTCGCCTTTCTACGTAGATTTCTTTTATCTGATCCTTTTAGGTCCTTATATCCACCCTTGTAAGTCTCCTGTGCCGGAGCGCCGACTGAAGAAACTCGGCCGTCCGCCGCAAATCGTCGGGGCCTCGGCCAACAGCCGGCGCGCATGGAGCGCTCGGGCGAGGGGCGAGAGCGCGAAGCGCCACCAGCCACCGACGACGAGGATGCGACGCAGCCGACCACACAGGAAGACTGCTGGCGTCGTGCGGGAGTCATCCGGCAAGCGCAGCCGACAGCGCAGCATCACCAGAAGATCACCGCTGGGCTTGCAAGCGGACAAACAACTCTAACACTCACACGTCATTTGGTTGGGGCCTGGAGCCCCTGCAGACTGTAGTTTATGGTGGTTTGCCCTGTTCACGCGCGCGCGAGACGTGCAGACAGGGTTGCCAGGTGAGAGCGGCGCAAAGCGAAGGGCCGCCGCCATGTCGCAAGGGGAGCGGGCGGCGAAACGAATGACCGATCAGCGGCGACGCCGCCATGAGCAGCGTGGGAACCTGTGTGCCCAGGGGAAAAAGCGTTTAAGAAACGGGGTGTGGTGCGCTAGCCGTCGCCCACCCTTGGGCGTCCGCCTCTTTCTATCTCCCTTCGCAGTCCCTCGCCGATTTTCGCTGCAACCTTCATGCCACCTCTCGCGGTCGTCCCACTCTCGTCGTTCTCCCTCCTGTCGCTTCCTCCTCTGTCGCGTCGCTCTCGTCTCACGTCTGCCTCGTCCTGCGACGACGCCGCCGCCGCCTGCCGGTCCCTTGCTCTCGCGGCTTCTCCCGCCTTTCGGCGCAACTCTGCCCTCCTCGCGGCATATTTTGGCCCCTCGAGTTTATCGAGCTCTCCTCGCGCAAGCGTTTCAGGCGGCGGCGAGCTGAAGGGATTGACGCGGCTTGAGCAGAACGAGGCATTCCAGCGTTATTGAAGGACCGCCTCTTTAGCCTTCGCCGCGACCGCGCGAACCCGTCGGGCACACCGCGTGCCTCGCAACGCTGGGCGTCGGGCGCCGGATCAAGCACCGACCCCCTGTGAGACTGTGGACGGTGCCTGGGGCTCGAGCCTGGCTGGAATGGAACCAACCCTTTTCCTGGCTCACAAGCTTAAGATGTTCACGGGCCCCCCACACGGAGGCCCGGGTACTCTTTAGCTGTACTCGTCTAGGCAGGGGTTGGAATGGAACATCGGAAGAGCTTTACATTACGAATTATAAATCACAAAAACTGCAACGTCCAACGAGCGAGGTAAATCGCCATGGCCCATGCAGTTTGCAGCACTCTCGAACGTCGGTGGGGGGGATAAGTGAGTTAATCTGTGTGCCCAGGGGGAAAAGCGTTTATGGTATTGCTAAAAATCTCTCCCTCTCTCAGGAAAAAGAAAGAAAGAAAACGGACAACCCAAGGGGGGATAAAGAAAGAAAGAAAGAAAACAGACAACCCAAGGGAGGGATGGGAGGACGGCACGCCGCCACCACACGAGGGGGGGATGGAAGCCGTAAGCGCAAAATTCTTTTTATTAAACGCCGCCGTACGGGCCGTAGAGGCGCCGGGCACCTTGAAGGCTCCCACAGGCTATGTCCAACTTGACGGCGCACCCGCACGCGGTGACGCCGCTCAGCTTCGTGCCCGTCACCCGGCACCCGCAGCAGACCCTCCGGCGCGGCCGCCGGATGAGCCTGCTTCCGGGGTGGCAGATGTCGGGCAACCTGCACACGCTTGGCTACTTTTCGGCGCCCGTCTGCCTCGGCTCGCCGTCGCGGCAGTTCGACCTGATCGTCGACACGGGCTCGGCGCTCACGGCGCTCCCGTGCGAGGGCTGCCCGCACTGCGGCTCTCACAAGCACGGCTCCGTCTCGGGCGCGCGCTTCTCCGAAAAGGCGTCGTCGACGTCCGAGCCGGTGGTGTGCTCGCGGCCACCGCGCGGGATGTCGACGTGCCGCAGCTGCGACGGCGGCAAGTGCGCCTACTCGGTCTCGTACACCGAGGGCTCCTCCATCCGAGGCCACCTCGTCTACGACTCGTTTTGGTTCGGCACGGAGCTCGGCAACCGCGCTGTGCGCGCCTCGTTCGGCTGCCAGACGTACGAGTCGGGGCTCTTCTACTCGCAGGTGGCGGACGGGATCACCGGCATGTCGCAGGGGCAGGGCTACGGCCCCTGCCTCTTCGACTACCTCCGCGATCAGACCCGCGCGCCGAACGTCTTTTCGATTTGCCTGAGCGAGGAGGTCGGCGCGCTCGTGCTCGGAGGAACGGTGCCCCCGGACCTCAAGGCGGAGTGGGTGCCGTACTCGGGCTCGTCCTCGTACGTGGTCGACCTCGTCGACATTCGCGTCAGCGGCGCCTCCATCGGCGGGCCGATCCCTTGCCTGGCCCTTGCCTGGCCCTTGCCTGCACCCTCCCTGCACCCTCCCCTCACATGCTCTTTTGTGCTCTTTTGTCCATGCCGCGCCCTCGCCGTCC